TATTAAGAAATAAATAGTACAAGTTTGAAAGAGAAATGATATGCTTTCCAAATTCAAGAGCAACCTAAATTCATCAATGAGAACTAGTGTATATATATACATCCAATAGAGAATGAGAATATTCTCAGAAAACAAAAGATCGGAAGAGAAGAGAGAAATTATGACGTCACTGTACCTTAGTAGCAAGAACAATGGATATTTAAAAAGAATTTATATGAGAGAAGGAGAGAAAGAAAAGAAAAGTATGAGATGACAAATGTAGTTGTTTATGACCTTAATGACCTTACATATTTAATCGTTTAATGTGAACTAAACACTTTTTCTCTACTGATAAATAGGTGGGTCAAAAATGACCCATCCATCCTCAAAAGGTTAATACACATATCGGTATAGGACTCAGTAAATGGTTAGAAAAAAGTAATTGTAAGGGTAAAGTTACCTCTAAAGCCCTAGACAATGAAAACAAAAAACATATTTATGTTGAGTTACTGTATGCTGAAAGATAGACAGATGTACTCAAAACACGGTTACGTCATTCTGCAAGGAAAATACGCCCTGAGGCCAGGTATGGGCGAGTCCGAGTCCGGACTGGAAGATTTTTTGGCGGACTCGGACTGAAGATTTTTTTGAAGGACTCGGACTCGAGTTTTTGTATTTCGAATCCGATTTATTCAACCTTTAACACAAATGAGCAGAGAAAAATGAAAAGCGCAATAACAACACCTACTGTTTCACATGAAATTGAAAATTTTGTTCAGGAGACGGACATAGAACGTACCCTTATTTTCGAAAAATCAAATATTTATCCAGGGCTCAGCAAATTAAAATATAAACCACCTTCATCAAAAAGAATCTAAAAGATTACCGGACTCGAAATGGACTCGGCTTGAACTTTTAAGGACTTGGACTCGGTTTGAACTTGCAAGGACTCGGACTCAGTACCCCCCGGACTCGCCCATGCCTGCCTGAGGCTGACCTTCGTTGTATATTGAAGCCTTCATGAAGTGTACAAACTTATTTTCAAATTGAAGACTTAACTCCAAAACATCTAGAATCGGATGTTGTATACTCTGTCAGGTGCTCAGAATGTACTGTCGGCTACGTAGGCAAAGTAGAACGCTAAGTGGTCAGACGATTTCGGGAGCACGGAATGGCAAAAGACAGATTCCCTGATCAGGGCCGCAAATAGGGGACAAATATTAGGGGGGTGTAAAACTGTATGAACTTTTTTGTTCATAGTGGTATTGTGAAAAAGCTGATTTTATAATCATTTATCACTCGAAAAAACAAAAAAATTCCAATTATTCGGGGGATGCGCAGTTTTGCTTGGAGAATCAGAAAAAATGATTTTGAGACTATAAATTATGCGAAATTTAAAAAATTTTTGTTTTTATTGAAAGTTTCATTAAAATTAGCCTATTTATAAAATCTAGTATTCTGAAATTTTTAACCTCAAACTCCAGTTCCAAAGTGCAAAAGGTAGTTGAGCAAATTCATCTGAAGTATCCCATCATTACATCAACTTTTTCTGCTTCGTTTAAAACCAATCTAATTTTATAGAACACATCAAGTTAGATAAGAAACTGTCTTTTCTCACTTCATAGCTGATGCAAAACCCGAGAAAAATGAGTTTTACTCTTCCAGCAAAATGATCGGATTGTGGCGCCACTCTCAGTGCAAATTGATCAATATCGCGATGAATTTTACAACATGTTTTCTCTTTTTTCAATAAACCGCTTAAGGTTATTATTATAGAGTGGGACATGAACTATATTCTCGACAACTTTGAAGAATGTTCCATGTAAGGTTCACGAGATATTCAACTTTTCCATATCTCATAACTACCATACAAAACTGTTAGAAAAAAAGAACAATGGCCAGTTAGCTACTAATGATGGTGGCACCATACTAACGGCGGCCTAAGCTACCATATAAAAATTTGAAAAAGAGGATTTTTATGGTCATAATCGAACTGAAATGCAAGAAAGTCTACAGGAAGTTGTTTTTATCAGAACCCAATTCGATTCTGATAATAAAAACTTCAAACTTAAGTTTAAAATACTGAGATAAAACTCAAACATACTTCATTTTTAAAAGTTGAATATCTCGTGAACCTTACATGGAACATTCTTCAAAGTTGTCGAGAATATAGTTCATGTCCCACTCTATAATAATAACCTTAAGCGGTTTATTGAAAAAAGAGAAAACATGTTGTAAAATTCATCGCGATATTGATCAATTTGCACTGAGAGTGGCGCCACAATCCGATCATTTTGCTGGAAGAGTAAAACTCATTTTTCTCGGGTTTTGCATCAGCTATGAAGTGAGAAAAGACAGTTTCTTATCTAACTTGATGTGCTCTATAAAACTGGATTGATTTTAAATGAAGCGGATCTCGATTGAATTTGATGTCCTCATTTCTATGTTGTTATATTTTAAACATTTAGTTCACTGTCTATTATTTTCTTTTGTTCTTTATTTTCTAACGTGATCTTGGACGAGAAAAGAATGATAAAACGAGAAAAATCAGACTTTTTGTTGTAAAATTTTCCTTTGCATGTATCGTAACTAGCAAATCTAATCAGCTAGTGACACATTTTTGTATATATTCAATATGAACTTTTAAAGCTCGAAACGTTGAAATATTTGATTTTTAATTTAATTATGTGTATTTCAATAAAATGAAACCTATTGCTGTTACGTTCAAAGTATTTCAAATATTTTAATTATTGATTATGACAACTTCATAACTCTGTAAATGATTATTTATATTGACATAGTGTATAACAGAATTAAAAATGCGCCTCATACTTACAAACAAAAACCACAACATATGTTTATGCTTGAATGGTTATCATTGTGGACAATGTTGTATTTTATGTCTCACATACAGGAGGACAGTTACTTTATTTAATATAGAAATTTGAATAAATAAGATAAATTATGGACGATCTTTAATCTTGCATTTCTTTTAGTACAAAATTTAATAATCATCGACTACTCTGGAAAATGTTAAACTCTCTTTGGATTCATAAATATTCAGGAGAAAACACGTAACCGTTGTTTATATAGAAAATAAATCTAAATACTGTTATTACTGTACATAAAGCACAACGCATTCATATTTATGTTAAAGATTTTTAATGATTATCATAAGTTTTTTACGTTTATTTTTTCGTATATCTATGATATAAAAAGTAGTGAATTCTGTTTTTACGATAATAAAATAATGGAAATGAAACATAAAAATGGTTTCATATTATTCATTCTCTGCAGAACCGAAATAAAATTATTTTCAGGTGGCCTTGCATCTATGTCACAACTATAGTATGTAATAATAGTGCATAGGCTAAAATAAAGAACGTACTCGGACGAACCGATCAAACCGTACAGTAGTTAGAATACGTAGAGTACGTCACCTATATAGATCATACTCTTGTCTACTTGATTTATTTTCCGATATGATATCGATCACAGTATTTGATTATTAGTTATCATGTATAAATACTAGTAGAGAGTTGTTTTTATTTATAAACGAAACATATAGATCAAACACGCATTTCGAAAGCCCCTATCTTGATTCACTTTGTCTAAAATATTCGATCAGTAAAATTTAAATATAAAAACATAAACAAAAACGGTAAGGTGACTGTCTGTTTCATATGTGTGTGTCTCGTCAAAATTGTACTACTATCCGTCAAAATACGGTGCGTGTGGTCATTTTTTGAATAACTTTTGATAGGAATGAGATAGAGACCTGCGGTTTTCGCTGTTCGATAGTCAAGACTTGAGCAGTTTCCAGAGGATCTTTGAAAAGCCAGCTCCGTTCTCAGAAAACTAACATACAATGTTAGTCACTTTTTTGCATGCATAGATAGTTCGGACGTTACTCTACAAAATTACGCAAGTCCCGGCTCTCCAGCTGTCGTCGTTCGGACAGGATTCGCTTTCCTCAAGCACGTGTCTATCTCCGAGCAGACATCTTAGGGAATCTCGAAATGCCATGGAATATAGATAATCGACTACGCTGAGCATAGTGGTAACATTTGTTTTTGTGTAGAAATGAAAATAACTTCGCCAGAGGCATTTTTGTGAAAAATCGGTTTTTTATCTGTTACTAGCAAAAATCCTTATATTTCGATCAAATCTCATGCTCACTCAAGTAAATTTTCAGAAAAGACTTAAAAGGTACCATATATTGTTAATCACGCCGAAAAAGTGATCCAGTAGAACACTGTTGCTTTGAGGTTTTTCAGAAGGTTTCTGGAAACCATAAACCAATGCCCGGTTGAAATTCACCTTTTTCGTCTTCGATTATGCTTTATGAGCTGTCCTGAGCGTTTTCTGAAAATTTACTTGAGTCAGCATGAGATTTGATCGAGATATAAGGATTTTTGCTAGTAACAGACAAAAAACCGATTTCTCACAAAAATGCCTCTGGCGAAGTTATTTTCATTTCTACACAAAAACAAATGTTACCACTATGCTCAGCGTAGTCGATTACCTATATTCCATGGCATTTCGAGATTCCCTAAGATGTCTGCTCGGAGATAGACACGTGCTTGAGGAAAGCGAATCCTGTCCGAACGATGACAGCTGGAGAGCCGAGACTTGCGTAATTTTGTAGAGTAACGTCCGAGCTATCTATGCATGCAAAAAAGTGACTAACATTGTATGTTAGTTTTCTGAGAACGGAGCTGGATTTCCAAAGATCTTCTGAAAATCCGATCTTTGAAATTTTTTCAAAAGTTGTTTCCGCTTGTGAAAAGTTCCGCTCAAGTCTGGGCTATCGAACACCGAAAACCGCAGGTCTCTATCTCATTCTTATCAAAAGTTATTCAAAAAAATGCCCACACGCATCGTATTTTGGGATGGATAGTTTAGTCAACGTTAGATAGACCGTTTTAAACATCCTCAAACTTGACGGCATCGAAATTATTGCACAGATCTCTAAAAAGGGTACTAAAAGACTAATATAAAATCCTTATTTTTTCAGCGAAATGTTAGCCAATCATTCGGCTGTTGAAATTCCCATTGGAAGGCCGACTCAGGTCTATAATAATAGAGGTTCTAGTGTAAGTATTCAATAACAATAATTATTAACGCAATAATAATTATATTATTCTCATTTTAGAAACAACCGCCAAGTTATAATTCAGTATTTAAACAAAAAAATCGAAATCAAAATCCCACTGATCGTCCGTATTATCCCGATGATGAGTATTTCAAAGATAATGATTATCCAACAAAACCAACCAGTGATGTGGAAAAAGATGATAAACCAAAGATTCCAGATTTTTTGAGAAATTCTGGACCAGGACTTTCACCACTTAAAGAAAATCCACCAGTTACATTGACATGGCACGGAATTCGTGCACTAGCACCATCAAAACAAGGAAAATTATCGAAGAAAATAAGTAGTTTATTAGGCAAAGAAATTAAAGAAGATAAAGTACTTTTGAAAGGCGTTAATGGAATCGTTAGTCCAGGTCATATGTGTGCAATTATGGGCGCTAGGTGAGAATCTAGGATGTTTTTTGTTAAGTGATAATTTAAACAATATACGTTTAGTGGTGCTGGTAAAACGACGTTGATGAATATTTTGACTCATCGGCGTCCTGGAAAACTGCTAATTGAGTCTGATGTACGAATTAACGGACAGAAAATGAGGCGAGATATTTCCGGTTTATCCGGTTATGTTCAACAAGACGAATTGTTCATTGGCTCGCTGTCCGTTCGAGAACATTTACGATTTCATGTATACATTTGATCGATATCGTAGTGGCATATAAAGTAAATTTTCTTTTTTTTTAGTCAATGTTGCGACTTGGAAAAGAGTTTACCCTAGATGAGCGTAATAGACGGGTGGATGAAGTTATTAAATTTGTAGGTGAAAATAGAACCTCTTGCTCCTAATATAATAAATATATTTATTCTTCTCAGTTAAATTTGACAAAATCAGAAAACACAACAATTGGTGTTCCTGGAATTGTTAAAGGTTTATCTGGTGGTGAGAAACGACGTTTGACAGTTGCCACAGAAGTATGTAAAAGCTCGCTCATAAAAAATTGAGCATCATTTTGTGTCTGTCAATTCTCAATAAATTTCTTTAATTTGATATTATATTGCAATGTTTTTCAGGTACTCTCAGATCCTCCACTTCTATTATGTGATGAACCAACATCCGGGCTAGATTCATCAATGGCATTTATCCTTATTCAAGCTATGCGAAAATTGGCCGATCAAGGAAAAACAATTGTGTGTACAATACATCAACCATCATCAGAGATATTTTATTTATTCGATACGTAAGTATACACATTCACGCGAAGAAAATATTAGCCTTTCTAATATGTATGATTGCATTTTTAGTTTATATTTACTTGCCGAAGGTCGAGTTGCTTACTTTGGCTCATTAGAAAAAGCTCCAGCATTTTTTCGAAGGTAAACGAGTTTTGTTCAATATCTTTCTTCTTTTTAATAATAAACATAATTTTGTTTTTCGTTTAGTCTAAATCTTGAAATACCGTCGAATTACAATCCAGCTGACTTTTATATTCAACAATTAGCTATTTATCCAAAAACCAGAGAAGAAAATTTAGCTCAAATCGAAGTATGTTTTTCCTTCACCTATTTTATTGAGAAATAGCATACATATCACGTTCAATTATAATTTTAGTATATAGCCGATCAATATGAAAACTCACCACAGTATGCACGTTATTTATCTGAAATAACTGAATATCATCAAGATAATCAAGATGAAAATCCAAATCCACTCGTGCGATTTTTTAAAGGAAAAATGTCTGATAATAAAAATGCAAGCAGGTATAGTTTTAAAATTGAATTTGTTTGAAGGCATGATGGTATCGAAAATTGCTGTTACTTTTATAGATACAAAACTAGTTCGTTTACTCAATTTCGATGGTTGACATGGAGAAATTTTAAAAATGTTTTAAAAAATCCATTTGAAATTCGTTTGAGTATATTTTTGGCAATTGTAAATAATAATACGTCGTATATGTGAGTTTCATCTATTTCAAGTGTTTTCTTTCTATTTCATTAGTTTATTGGTCTTTTAATCGGCATACTGTATATTCGACTGAAGTATAATCAAGATGGGATTCAGAATATAAATGCTGTGGTATTTTTAGTTCTAATTACTACATCATTTATGAATTTGTTTCATGTAACTCAGGTACGAACGTTCAATGATCATGTTATTTAAAAACACTAACTTTTTTTCTATTTCTAGAGTTATACATCTGAATTTCCAATTTTTTATAAAGAGCATGATGATGCTGTCTACCGTGTAGCACCATATTATTTTTCAAAATTTGTTGCGGAGGTAAATATTGTGATTAATATGATCAGCGAACACTTATGATTAGTAAAACAACAATAAATTGTTTTTCCTTAATCCTTTACCTACCAAGGGATCACCCATGGCCGATTCATAAAATTGTTATGAAAAGATAATAAAGCATGTGATAAAAAATGGATTGCTTTTGAGAGCAAGATGAATCCATAAGCTATCGATTGATAAAAGAAGATTTTGTTTTCCATCACTTTTTGGTGCTTCATTACCTTTTTATAGCAATTCCAGGAATCAGTCATGAGTGACTGGACTCTTTAGTAGATAAAGGGTTAAGATATCTGGACTTTAGTAACTTCAAAACTCGGTGTAATACTCGACTACGATAATTTTCCAAAATATTTTTTCTACAAGTTTCCTTGAATTGTACGGAAGAGAAAGGGATGTTGAAAATAGAATGTTTAATCTTCTTTTATAGCTTCCTCTATTTGCCATAACAACTTTGGTTGAAGTTTGCATCACTTATTGGATGGCAAATTTGTACGCTACTGCCAAACGTTTTTTTATATTTGCTGGTGTAATTACTTTGACAAGTCTGACATCTGTGGCGTTAGGATCAGTAATCAGTGTGCTAGCAACTACCCCCGATCAAGCATCTGCGGTTCAAGTGCCCATATTATTGCCAATTATGATTTTTGGTGGATTTTTCCTTAATAATGAGTATGAAAGAAAGAAAAAGATTTCTATTTTACTCAACCAAAATACTTTTTTTTAGTTCCACACCTAAATGGTTGATTTGGATTAAGTATTTATCTTGGTTTTATTATGGAAATGAAATATTGTTAATCAATCAGTGGCGTGATGTCAAATATTTACCATGCGATAATGATAATAGTGCAAATAGTAATGTTCCATGTTATCATAATGGTCAAGAAGTCATCAACTATTTGAATTTCGATACGGTAAGATAACTTATACGAGAATACTACAATACAAGCTGAACTAAATAGTGTTGTGAGAAATACATAGAATCGAATACTCTTGAATTATATTGCCGTATTTAAAATGTTTGACACCCTTAATTATTGTTTCTCATAAATTCTTCGAGGCTTCTTAATTGAAATCACTTTTTTGATAAAATGTGTAACATAAAAATTAATATCAAAAGAAACATCACAGGGCGCGAAGCGCAAAATAAGAGTGAGTGAAAAATAGTGATCTCAGTTAAGTATGAGCCAAATTCTTCTATATAAGATCAGATTTAATCTAACATTGACTCATCAGACATAATGAAAGAAAATGTTTCTAGCCTTTTTTTCTACTCTCTATTTTAGAAACATTATAATCGTGATATTGGACTTCTCGTATTATTATTCGTAGTTTTAAGAGTGATTAGTTTTACAGCATTAGCTTTAAAAGCAAAATTTTTTAAATAATAATTTAATTTTTTTTAAAAATGTTTTTTTGTAAATATTCACATTATAAATAAATTTTATTTTAATAATTCAATAAGTAAAAAAATGAACAAATAATTGCTTATTTTTAATTGTTAGATGATTAATCAGTGATAGAGAAAAACATTATTTTGGCTAATTGAACAAGTATTCATGGAAAACCAGAGCGAAAAAAATAAAAAACTCTGAAAAAACAAAGTTATAGTATGAAACTTGTGAGGTTCTGTGGAACTCTCCTATACCAATCAGATATGATACGGATCTGCGAAACCTCATTAAGGTTTAGTAATTGATGAGATTTCGTATGATACTCTTCAGGGTTTCGTACTTGCACCGGTTTCATAGTACATCTACCGAAGGTATAGTAGTAGGAAACGTTTCGTACTATACCTCTCTGTGTGCTATACTCATATGAGAGGGTGCTTGTTTTTTCCATTTATTAGAGCAGCATTCATGATAAGATAACGTTCATTTGCACTTGCTCTGTCCCTTGACTTTAGGAACTTATATCTGCGAACCACCTTCCATGACTTGTGAATCAAAGACAACGCTCACGCGTCTCTTCGGTCGGCATTCGCTACGGAACTTTCTGAAATACGTTGTGAATATATTTCTGGTTTGATGTGTAAGGTTCGTAATCTAATGTAGATCTGAACAGTTTTCTCAAGACCCTCCAAAGATCCCCAAAAGTCTAAAATATTTCTGAATTCGAGAAAATACTCACGCCTCCAGTTCGCACCCAGGATAACTGAGAAATGTTGTGAATATATCTGATTCCACGACAAAAGCGCCCGTAATATAAAGCTAAAACGTTTTCTCAACAACCTCTGAAGCTCTCAAGGGGATGGAAGTATTTCTAATCGGTTCGTTATAATAGACTATCTATATTCTGTAAATTTTATTATCCGTAGATGATTTTTTTGTGTTATCAAAATTAACTGATTTTCTTTGTTGGTGAGGTGGTATGTTCTTACAGTATGCGAAATCATCTAATTTTTTTGAGAATATTTTCCTTTACTCTATTTTGACAATTCAAATTCACGCGCATTTTTATTAGAAGATGACTTTTTTTTCAAACGACAAGTTTTGTGCATAAGTGGCTTTTCTTTGGTGTTTGGTGATACTTGCATTTTTTTGATTGTTTTTGGTACTAGGCAGTAGAAATAAATAAATTCAAGACGAATATACAAAACGGAATTATATGAAATCCATAAATAGAATCTGTACAAAACCTCTACGAGTTTATAAGACACTTCTACGGAACTTTTTTTGAAAGCAGCGAAAAAAGGTATCGTACGAAATCTTGTTCGCACAGAACTTAAAAAAGTTTTAGAATTAGTTTCAGTTCTCGAAACTCTTTTTAAGTTCCGTAACGCATCTTTTTTTTAAGAGAAGAGCGGTTTAATATGTTAATCTTTAAAGAAAACTCAGCACCCATCAAATTCCATTGTAATTTTAGAAATCGTATCAACCCAGTGGTTTGTTAATTTCCTCTTGTTCTGATTCATCGATCAGACTTAATGAATTAGACAATACACCCTATTCTATTGTGACCTTGAACACTCAGTTTTCTCATTAAATTACATCAATGAGTCTTTTTATTCGATTTGCAGTATTTTTCATAGGAAAAATTAGTGGCAAACACTTTTTTTATTCCATTATCATCTCATACATCATCGTTAAGCGATGAGATCCTCATTTATATTTTCCTTAAATGTCCTCAGTTTGTAGAGGATAGTACAATGTATATGTTCTGGAGTATTTTTTGGCTTACTTACATTATTTAGTTGGGATAAAAGTTAATTATTCAAAAAAATGTTGTTAAATTTTTAAGCACGGTTCTGTTATTGAAAAAATTCCTCGTAAAATAACGACTCAACGAAAATATTCAAACAATACATTATCTGGTAGCAATCTACTAGACAATCTACCTTAAAACTCTCACAATTCATTTTTAGCTATTAGTAAGTGTGGTTGTGTTACAATAAGGAAAAATTTTCGAAACACCTTACGGTTAGTTTCACTCGAAATAAACATTTTGGAACAAAACTCTGGATACAAAAGTTTGTCAAAATCGAATTTTTGACTTCCTCACGAGAATTCTTTTCGAAACTTCTTTTTTTTGACTTTCAAATTGAATTTTATGATTTTTCAAATTTTCGTTAAAAAGCCGGATGGGGTCTGCGTAAACATCTGGGGAAAGTAGAGGAAATCCGTTTTTTTCTTTTCAGAATACGAGAATTCTACTATTTCGACACTTCAAGTTAAAAGAATGAATGTAACATAAGTATTAACTATTTTTTAAATAAAACCGCCAATTCAAACATTATGCTGTTTTAATTATTTTCAAACTTCATTTAATTGTGTGAGGCATTTTTTCTAATTGGTTAACGGTAATGTCAATACCACTATCTCAAAGTACGCGCTTAGAAGACATTACCTGTTTTGTGTAATTCAAATGAAAATTCATTTATTATGATATCTATTATTATTTCATCTTATTCGTTATGTTTGGATGGCGATCACCAGTTAAAAAGAAGAAAATTAAACAAGATTTAACAACAACTTTATATTCAATATCGTCTAATACAACAGATATACCACAGGAATCAATAAATTCAGAATCAAAAACTATCTCTTCACCATTTCTACATAATGAACAAGAATTGAATCGAAATAACTCTGATGAAATATTAAAATGTTCCTTTCACACGAGCTCTAAGATATTTATCGCTAATGATAATCTCATGTTTCATAAAACATCAGTTCAACCAACGACAATAAGATTACCACGACAAACAACTGATAAGACACGAAGTAGCACCATACTACAGTCTATTGATGGAAAATATGAACAGAAAAAACATGATAAACGACTGCAATCTCGACCAACTCGAGCCAAATCTAAAATACGTAAATTTTTTCGCTTTGGATCGGAAAAATCATCAACAACGACAAATGAAATAACGGAGAATAATGATGATGAGTCAACTAGTAGTCATACATCAGTCAATGATGAATACGATAATCGTCGAATTATATCAAAACAAAAACTATTGTTAGATCAACAATTTGATTCGCTTGATATTGATGCTGACGGTTATGTTTCACCCCAAGATCTAAGAAGTGTGTTAAAAAATTTCTCACATATTCCAAATGTTGACGATATTGTTCCTGCAATTATTGATCGTGCTGATCTCGACAAAGATTCTCGAATATCAAGAGTCGAATTTGCCCATTATTTGAAGAAGAAACCATCATTAAGTAAACAATTAAATGTATCAAAAATATCTTTTGGAGAAGAATTTGGCTTAGCATTTTCAATATTCGATAGAGATAAAAATAATTATATAACAGCAAACGAAATAAAAGAAACAATGATAAATATGGGAGAAGGCATCACAGATGAACAATCCGAAGAGATGCTACGCTCTGCTGATACAAACAGAGATGGTCGTATTAGCAGAGATGAATTTAAAACTTTATTTTCACAAATGGTGAAGACCGAAAAATAAGAGTACTCTATCTCTTTTAATTTTCATCACAAAATAATGTCAAACGAGTTTTTTTTCTTTTTCTTTTTTGAAGGCAAGACTTCTATGGACGAAATTCACAATTTTCATTCAGTACAATAGAGTTTATAGATATACCTCTAGTAACTACATCTGTACACTATAGTTAATGTTTTTCACTTAATATTTGTACTTCTCAAGCTTGTGAACGTTTTTCTCAGCGTGCATAAAGAGAATTATATAAGAAAAGTTTTTTCTAATAATGAAAAAACAACAATAGAAAACACATACAACAACATATATTAAAATAGAACTATGTAAAATTTATTCAAAATTTGAACTATATATATATATTCATACTTCTAATCAAAATACTTTCCGATCTGGAATCGTCCGTTTTCTAGAATAAAACAGTACAAATGTAAAAAAAGAGAAATAATTCTAAGTGTATCATACCTTAGAATATCTTCAATTGTTTCTTCTTTTTGATAGAATTCCTTTCGTAATTCGTACATCTGTAGAAAAAAATAAATAAACATTTTTTTTTAATATTTTCTAACGGCTTTTTATTTTTACCTGTGCTTCAATTTCATCTTTATTGCTTCGAAATTCTTTCGTTGTTGGCTGAGGTAATGACTGACTAGGAGAAGGAAAGAGATGTAATTGTTGCTGTCTTCCATCTATTTCCATTAATTTCAAACGTTCGTCTTGCAATTCACGTTCTTTTTTACTCAATTCTTCCTGAGCGATTTGTACCTTAATTAAAAAAGATTGTCAGTATTGTCTTAGCAGCCAAAAATATGGAAACTTTCTTAATAAATAGTGAGGCAGAAAAGTGCAAAAACAGTCATTTTGTCAGCAAAAGCCCCTTTAAACATAAAACTTTGTTTTTCCTTCTGACGAAGGACAGTCCTAAGTTTTCACAAAAAATTGACAAACAACAAGATGCACTCACACTTTTGATGAAAATGTTTACATACTTTTACACGATTAAATAATTCTTCCAATAAACGCATTGATTCCAATTTTCTTTGTGCAATCATTATTTTCCGTTCTTCCATGGCAATTTTCATTGATAATGTACGTTCTTCATGTAAACGTTTACGTTCAAGGCGCTTTAATCGACGTTTTCCTTCGCTAGAATGAGTATATAGAGGTTCATTAAACTCATAAAGTTAAACGTGTAATTTCTTACCGTTGACGTCGTCTAGTATCTTTTGTTATGTCTTTCACACCTGGAAAATCATCAGCTTCTGCATCCTGCAATTCAATTTTTAGTCTGAATAAAGAATTAGTGATTGCTAACGTTATATATAGAATTTTAAACTAATTTGATACCTTTCAATCTCTTTTTTCCGCTCTTCTTCATCTTTTTGTCTTTGTGCCTCGGCTCGTGTTAATTTAATCATTTCCACTGCTTTCATTTGTTCAATACGACGCTTTTTTATAATACGGTCAGATAAATGTCTTGTACGATCAAAATCAACCTGAGAATAATCGAATACATCTAATGTCATTATACCGAATGCAGCATATTTTAACAGAAACGATAAACAAGAACAGATCCGGTACATGAATAACATCTCTTATCAGAAAAAATTTATAAGTCGTCATATTTGGTGTAGATAAAATACAAAAGTTATAATTTCTTACTTTCACAGCAGCTGTATAGGCTACGTTATTTTCTTCAATGTGCATTAACTTCATATTACGAAATGCATCCATGGCTTTAACAAAGCTTATATATTCACTGTATTGGATAAATGCATCAAATGTTGTATCCTGTGGTACTACTCGTTGACCATCTATACCAAAACGATATGGATCAAGAGATGGTATATCACAGCACCGAATTTCACCAAATGTAGAAAATACTTGTTTCAATATTTCTAACGATGGTTTATTATCTTTATTTTGTTCTTGATCAATTGATTGAATGTGACTTCCACTACCTATTGCATGAGCGGCAGCTTGAACAGCAGCCATCGGATTTGGTTTTTCCTGCAAAGACAACAAATAGTACACACTCTATTAGCATAAAAATCACTCAATTTTCTTACTTGAAACCATTTAATTGGTAGTCCTTCAATATGCACAGTATCTGCTCGTTCACCCGGTTTTGTTTCACTCATATTTTTTGCTTCACGAAAAAATGTTTCCCAATCCGTACGACTTGGATATTGTAATTTAGCTTCGGCTGCACGTAAACGAAATTCATGTCCAGTTGATATACGTATAATAGAATTTTCTAAACGTATTAGACAACTACGTGCTATTTGTTTTGATTCTAATTCACCTTCAAAACGATATAATTCACTAGCACTTTTAATTAAACGTAAAAATATAAATTCATCTGGTGAAATTAATGAACGAATTTTTTCCATTATTTCCCACGTAGAAATTGTTTGACCTGGTGCACGCGTTACGGGTAATGGCATACTAATATTGAGACGAGCAATGGGTTTTAGATACATTCGCTAAAATAAAAAATATATAATTAAAAATAATCATTTTAATCTAAATTTATTTCTAATTTTGATTTACCAGTGGCTCATATAAATTACTCCGCTCGCTTAAATCTTTGCATACTTGCAGATTCGACATTTCTAATCTGTTATTAGAATTAACCTAAATTTATTCTATCTAAATTTAGATAAAATTAGATTTATCTGGGAATATAAACTAAATATTTTTATAAGATACTGAAAAATGTGATTCTTTCAAAAAGAACGATAGCGTCATCTATTAACTATTGTTAAAAAAAAATCTACAAACAAAGTTTGTATTATAGTCGTCTTGATTTCTCTCAAACTCTAATAAGTTAATAGAGCACAATCGTTACCGCAAGATATAAAGTTGAACTGGATAACGTCTTTCTATTAATAATGTCAAAGAACTCGAAAACCTTAACAAATACACTATACTCAGACTTATTCGTCTACCTACGATTGCCTCCATATTCCTACAATTTTGCTATAAAATTAAAATACAAAAAAAAATATCTATACATATTTTACGACGAAAAAACAACATTAACATATGGTGCAAAAGCAAGGGTGTAAATGTCGAGCATTATTTCTCCATATTCGCGATATGCTGGAAAGTTAATTTTTCCGTTGGAAAGAGCAAAGTCTGAACTTTGTAAAACATAGAAAACAAATTTTTTCCTGATTAAGTTCGAGTGAGAAAAAATGTAAATAATAAACGTCGCCAAAAAATGCTCTTGCAACCTTCGCATTCTTCAAACATGTTTCTCTCACCAAGAATATTTTTCCCTATAACAGAATATGTCTGAAATTATGCCTGAAAGTATTTTTATCACTCTTTCGAATGGAGGATGATAAAGTATCTTTCGGTCCACTTTTCAATCAGAAATTTGAAAATTTTTCATTAGTTTCAGAAACACAGTTAATTCGATTTAATTAATAATTTTTAGATTACTAAACCAATTTCTTCCTTGCTAAAAAGCATTTTCTAGAACAGCATTCAATTTTCTGCAAATTCACATTATTTAAAATGTTTACTAATATATTTTGAGTCATAAATAAAGAAATTTTCTCGATATGTCATCTTCCCATGCAAAGTGATGCTTTTCTACTAAAACTTCGTTTTTTTTACTGTTAAGCAATTATTAAGAAACTTTTAGAAAATAGAGGAATCGATAGAGTTTTGCACGGACTACATTCGCATCTATTTCGTTTTCAAAACATTACTTCTCAGGCTGGAATGAAACGAAGAAAAAAACCAGTACGTTGCAAGACCTTTTCGAGATTAATCGAAAGAATGTTGTCGTACTATTCAAATTGGATACATAAAAAATTGTTTGTCAGACAAATTTGCTCTCTAGACTTTGTTCTTTCAAACAAAAAAAAACTTCAAAGTGATCCCACGTTAAGAAATACGGCTTGACATTTACACCATTACTTTTGCACCATATGTTTGACCATTATTAGTATAAGAGAATAAATTACACTTTTCGTAGAAAACATACAATGATTAAAAGAGATATTCTTTTTTGGAAATAAAAGTCATTAGTTCTTAAGAATATAATTCTAAACTCAAATCCTATTTCTTTTGAGTATCAATGCTCTCTACACCGTTTTTTTTAATCCTTGATGAATAGAAATCAAATTCATGTGGTTTAAAAACAGATTTCATTCGTTCAACAGGAAAATCAATTTTATCAAATCCATTTTGAATACCAAATAGTAACTGTTTAGCAGCTTGTCGTAAAATGGGATTTTCTTCTTTAATTGCTTCTTCTAATTTTATCCATTTACAATCTACAATTTCATGTGGATCAATTTTTATTTCATCACTCAAAGGTGTCAATCTACAGACAAAATATAAATCGGATCGACCATGTGCACCTAAATACAAATAATAAAAAAACATAGTAATGAAAATTTGTACACGAAATTCTTTTTTCTATACCAGGATACTTATGTTGTTGACGAAAACCGATGACAGATTCAAATTCTTGAATAAAAAAGCAATGATTATCGACATGAAAAAAAAATTTTAAGTTTCCACTAACTTGTTTTAATACCGGTTTCTTCGAAAACTTCTCGAACTATAAAATAAATTGCTCTATATAAACATGCTAGTCAGACATATAACATCTTCTTTCGTACCTGCACCATCGCCTATTTAAAAGAAGATAATCAATTGTTTCTAAAAAATTATTTTTGATAAGGCGTACCAATATTTTCGGAAAGATCTGCTCCACCACCCGACAACTTCCAAAATTCTTGTTCCATTATTCGTTCTTTTATAATTAACATTTCTTTCGTTTTCTCTTTTAACACAGCACCTATAAGGGAATAGAATTTTTAATGAAAATTTACATTTGATTTTAAATGAAAAATTAATTTTATCTAACATCATACCTGCGACACCTACTTGATGCGTTGCGAATCGTGGTAATAAAGATTTAGTTGGTAATAACCACTGATTAACAACAGCCATATCACCTTCAGCATTATGGTATTTAAATCCCAATTCAGCTGCCACAGATATAAGATTAGCATGTTTAATAGGTATCCATAACCAAGCAGCGGTTCTTTTTTCTTGACGCCATTGAAACAAAGCATCTATTTGAAAAAAATGAAGTGTAACTTTATACAAATATTTCCTCTATTCATTTCACTTTACTCGTGAGTTTCTCACGAAATGTCTCTTCGTTATTTATACTATTCCATGTATCAGCTCGTACCAATGCCCCGTTGAATCTATCAAGATCATATGGAAGATACGATGTTGATTTATTAATATTTGTAGCTAACGAACGACGAGAAAGTGAACAAAATACATATTTTACCAAAGATGCTGTCAAGTTCATCTAAATAAGTGTACATTTTTGAAATAAAATGAATCATCAGAATATTATTATTCAGCTCTCTGTTGTCTGTCTTATTCAAGATTTCTTAACGGGTTCGAAAAAAAGCAAAAAAGTTAACTTATTTGATCAAATAAGTTAACTTCTTTCTTACTTAGTTACTTTTTTGTGTGCATCAGGTTTCTACAGTCATGTTCACATAAACATCTGGTCTTTTCTTGCAAATCTTGTTTGTGATTTCACGTTGTTACTCCAGCAACTACAATCGGAATCCTTTTGTTTCACTGGGGAAAAAAATGGATGTTATGATGAAAAGTATCTGTATCTGATGACCAAAATTTTGCTTTTTCGAGGGAACCATCCCAGACTCAATTTTGATGAAGCACAGATTTTCGATGCTAACCACGAATCTGATATTCGTTTTTGCTTCCTATTACCGTTCTGTAGAAATCATGTTTCTGTAGACTTGATCGACACTTCCAAATCAAGAGATTCTGATGGTACATAGGGGAGGTCCAGTTCCTTGTATAGAAAAGTTTTAGAAACTATCGAACAATTTTTCACGAGTTATGCAGATTCAGTTTTTTATTGAGATATTTATCCAGATAAAACAGACATAAGTAAGTTAAAACTTATTCGGTCCTTCCCAAAACTTTTCTACACGGAGAACTGGACCTCCTCTATATCCCAGATAAATCAGAATCTCTTGATTTGGAAGTGTAGATCAAGTCTACAGAAACATGATTTCTACAGAACGGTAATAGGAAGCCATACGAGCAAAAACGAATATCAGTTTCGTGATTAGCATCGAAAATAACCCTCGAAAATCTATCCACAACTGGAGAGATTCACCAAGGATGATTTCCTCGTTAGAAGTATACAGAAGTCTTAGAATACGATTTGTTGTAAAAATATATAACTTTTCAACTAAGTCCCAATGTAAAATCATTTTTGCAGAAAAAAGCGCAGTAAATCAGCAATTCAAGTATTCAGTGAAACTCGTATAGTTCGAAATTTCTACTATAAGCCGGACCCAGAATTACCAAGTGTAAAAATCTCAATAGATTAATCTAAAATGAGCGACATCGCTGATGCCGCTCATATGTCCCCTATTTTAGAGACATTCTTCAAGAGAACTCAGAGGGACAAATCTACAACTTAGGAACTATCCTTCTCGTGAACAGAAATTCGACAACCCTAGCGAGGAGAATCGTTATAGGTGCTCTCATAGAAATTGCATCGCAAATTATCTTTTGTTGGAAATGTCGAGAATTTAGTGAAACCTACTCTTTGAACATGACCGGCGATTGATAACTACTATTTGTCCAAATCTTATGCAAAGCAACCCAACTAAAAACAATGGAACAAAAATCAAAGATCTTCACCAACGCACAAAAAAGAAGGCAGACGGAAGAGTCCGTAATTCACTGATCGATAAAAAGATGAATTCAATTCACCATTGTACTGGACAATGTTTAGAAACTTTTCGTACAGATATGATACAGTCGGGAATCTGAGATATCCCAACATTTTTTAACCTGAGAAAGGATGCACTGTTTAACGTGACGGCAGTAATCATTGCTGGTCTTAACTCATTATTTTATCGATCAGTGTTAGTCTTGGTCTATAAATTAGCGGTACACACTGTAAATATGATCAACCGCTTCAATAAATCACAATCATCCGTGCACATCGACTAGCTAAACTTGAAGCGAATCCATGTTTAACCCAATTTTCTCTCAAGCTAGAATCAATTAACCAACCAAATGTTTCACAGATAACAAAGACATGAGCTCTATATCTAAAAGGACTAGCCAAATAATTCGGTGAAATTCTTTTAGTCGTGATCGATTTGCTCTAAATACGATTTCATAGATAAAACTGTGGATAGATCCGTTCGATTTCTCGCCAAGTTAAGCGGCAATGTTTGGACTAGTCAGCCAAGAAATTGGTATGAAAGATGTCACTTTTCAAAACTTGCGATGCAAGTAGAGACTAAATATAGTTTTTCGAAACCTTAAAAATAAAACTCGTTGTTCGGATGTGATCTGCAGCATTTCAACGTATATCTTTTATGATTCACGTTTTTCCTTATTTACGGCAAAATTTTTGCTAGTCATTCTTTCAGCCGCTATTAACGACTGGGCTGTTATTTACGGCTAAAAGAGTTTCACGAAATAATTCATCGGTTCGGTTGTCTTCTTTAAGAATATTCACTTTCATTCCAAAATAGCTGAAAAAAAAGAAGTAGGTACAGAGGTGGGTGCGACATAATATTCGTGATCACCATAACCAATTGTGTATATGTCAACTAATTTTGGCTCGAGCCATTGCCAAAATTTCTTGGATATACGAAGTTTCGTGCACTCTATCAAATGAATTTTGAACGAAACTAATATTTTATTATTAAAAATAAATTTTAATTTTGTCAAAATTTCAATAAAACACATATATCTCCCCGAGAACACGTGTCCGCCTTGTGAAGTGCTGAGATTCGAGTAGAACTCAGAATTCTGAGTATGTACAGAAATTTTGAGCACATGTTTGGGGAGCCGTCTTATGCCGATCTCAGGATATTCAAAGGATTTACTAAATTTTTTATACAATCGTCATCAAAAAGAGAAAAGAAAATTATGTTCTCCTTTCTTTATCCATCTAGTTTAGAATGGAACAAAATAAAAGGGTTAATTTTTTAATTATCGAAGGCTTTTTATTCAAAATAAAGTTTATACTCATGATCTATATGAAAATCGGAATCTAACTGTAGAAAATTCTATTAGTTTCTCTCACTTTTTTCTTAGATCTCTGAATGGGAAACATATATACTTCTGCGACATCGTTTTCATTCTTTCCGTTTTGTAGGGTAGTTACCAATGGAAAAGTATGCTTCAGCTCGATATATTCTGGATCTTATTTTCGGCAATTTATTTGTTTTTGGCTAAAAGAAGACAGGCCATGGTTCTCGCTTAAATAATTGTCTTCTCTCTTCAGAACAAAGTGACTATAAGCTCTAGTCAGGAGCGATACATGTAAAAAGTCTTTGTACTTAAACAACAATCGCGTAAGGCAAGAAGAATCATTATCATACTAATAAATAAAATTTATAGTAATTAATTAATCTATAGTTATGTCGTTGGTGTAAGGGATTGAAGCAATTCAGAGAAAAACTTTATAAATTTCGGGGTAAAACATTAGTGAAAGTCGTTATTGACGATTATTAACTACGCTAGAATGATTGTGTTTGGATGCGTGCTGCACATGCAGCACTACAAGAGACAGATGCCGACGAATAGTTTTTTTCTGGAATGCTTGGTTTCTGAGTCATATGAACTACAAAGGCAACTATGTTTATTTTTAATGATATATTTGGATGGTCTGAACACTTCTGTTGTCCAGTTTGCTTCTGTTTTAGACCATTGAAATGAATACATCTCCTGTTGGGCCACATTCTCGTAAAAAAGTATCCTATTATTATGATTTTGATGTTGGTAACTATTATTACGGACAAGGACATCCTATGAAACCACATCGCATACGTATGACCCATAATTTAATTCTTAATTATGGCTTATATCGAAAAATGGAAGTGTATGTAAGTATCTACCCGGTTTTATTTCAATAGTAAAATAACCAATGGCAAAGTATATTAGTTTGAATATTTTACGTATCTACTAAATACGTCACGAAGTTGTACATTGGAATTGAAAGGGATTGTCTAAACTCTTGAAAAATGCCGAAAAACTATAGCTTTGCTACCTTATCCACGAGTTTAAAATAAAAACACTTACGAGTTACATGTGATACCTACGAATTTCATTCTTTTTCCTCTTGTTTATAGCGTCCACATAAAGCTGCCATCGAGGAAATGACACGTTTTCACAGTGATGAATATGTCAAGTTTTTAAATAATATTCGACCAGATAATATTACAGATTTCAATAAACAAATGCAAAGATGTAAGGCATAATTATCCTAAAGTAAAACAGTCTCAACTTTTCTTTTTCTCGATTTTATTAGTTAATGTTGGTGAAGATTGTCCGGTATTCGAAGGATTGTTTGAATTTTGTCAGATATCAGCCGGTGGTTCGTTAGGTTTGTAAAAAATACAATTATCCTCCTTTTACGTTGTTATTGAATGAATGCTTTTTATCATCCAGCCGGTGCTGTTAAATTAAATCGAAAATTAACTGATATTGCTATTAACTGGGCTGGTGGTTTACATCATGCTAAAAAATCTGAAGCATCGGGATTTTGTTATGTGAATGATATCGTGTTGGCCATATTGGAACTACTCAAGTAAGTGGCAATTAGAAGACACTGCAATTATTGGAAGAAAAATGTTATCGGCTTGCTTTACGAAACAATTTCAGAATGGAGAGTAAAAAATCGAACACATTTCTTTCATTTAAGATATCACCAACGTGTATTATACGTTGATATTGACATTCATCATGGTGATGGCGTGGAGGAAGCATTTTATACAACAGATCGTGTTATGACTGTTTCATTTCATAAATTCGGTGAATATTTTCCTGGAACGGGTGATTTAAGAGTAAGTTATTGTCTTTCTGTATTTTTCTTATAAGTGTTGTTGTCTTTTTCTCCTGAAAAGGACATTGGCGCTGGACGTGGGAAATACTATGCGGTTAATTTTCCATTACGTGATGGAATTGATGACGAGTCATATGAAACAATTTTTAAACCGGTAATGAGGTTTTTATAGTTATTAAAAATGACAATGTTTTTTCATTTCTTCATCCTTTTTAGGTAATAACAAAAGTAATGGAAGTTTACCAGCCAGGAGCGATTGTTTTACAATGTGGTGCCGACTCATTAACAGGTGATCGCTTAGGTTGTTTCAATTTAACATTGAAAGGTAATTGACACATTCTCTTTACACGATGTTTCTCACATCCAATCATACACTTGTTTATCTCTTTATTTAGGTCATGGTAAATGTGTGGAATTTATTAAAAGTTTTAATTTACCATTGTTAATGCTCGGAGGTGGTGGTTATACGATACGTAATGTGGCACGTGCCTGGACGCATGAAACGGCTATAGCTTTGAATCAAGAAATTCCCAATGGTAAGATCAATGTTTCTTTCTCTAAGGTATTATTCTATTTTTTCTTTGATTAGAACTTCCATACAACGATTATTTCGAATATTATGGTCCTGATTTTAAACTGCATATTAGTCCATCAAATATGCCAAATCAAAACAGTTCCGACTACATGGATAAAATTAAGTACGCATTTTCTTCATGTATAAGGATGGGATAATAATGTTTTCTGTCTTTCTATCTTAGAGTAAAATTATATGACAATCTTCGAATGTTACCTCATGTACCGGGTGTACAAATGCAGCGTAAGTTCCTCTAAGTGGCGGGCTGAGTCTGAAATAGAACAAATAATTATCGCAATAATAAATTCGTGAAATTTGTTCATCAGACTAATAGTATGAACTATTTTTTACCATGAATACATAAATTAAGTGTTTAATCTCTCAATACAGTTCGAGTACATTCTTAAAGATAACAATTGTGTTTTTTCCTCTGTTTAAGCTATACCGGATGATATTATGGATGTTGATCGTGTTGTTGACGAAGATAAAGAAAGAGATCCTGATAAAGTATGTGCTTTTTCATCATAAAGTTTGGAATCTATATAGTTCTTCTGTTTCTTAGCGTATTTCACAAGTACAAAGTGATAGACGTATACAAGATGATCGTGACTTATCGGATTCGGAAGACGAAGATGGTGATAATCGCCGTAATCAAATGAATTATAAACGATCGACAGCACGAAGAAAACCAAGTCCAGAAACGGCAAATGGTATATGATCATTTTATCAATTCTATTTGCTATAGTACGCGCAAGAATTCTTTATATAGATTCAATTAGTGGAGCTTCTGCTACAGCAACAACTATAGCTCCTATGGTAGTCTCAACAACAGAAGTAACGACGAGTTCAGTTGTAATTACAGCTGATAGTACAAACACATCAGTTGTTACGACAACAACTGAGAAAATTGTCGCCACTTCACCCGAATCGACAGAAGCTATAACAACCACACAAGAAGTTGTTAAAACAACAACGGTCACGGTGGAAGATCCTGATCAAGTTGCTACTGCCTCTTCACCGCCACCACAAGATGGAATGGATACGTCGGAAAAGTAAGTTTTTACTTGTTTCCCAAGGAAAAATAGCAATCTTTTTAGAAGGGTAGAAACTAGGTTTTTCCAACAACGAAAATGCCTCTTAATTTCGAAAGGAAAAACGGAACTCATTATAATAAAATATTTTTTCTTTGAAGTAGTCATCCACCGCAAATAGAAGAACAAAGTAAGTGATTATTTAATTAATATCATCTAAAAGAAGTTTTTTGCTGTCGCATGTGTAGAAAACATAATGTAGAGATAAAAATTAAACAATTGTTTGTGTTCGTAAAATAAATATTTGTGGCTTGCTTTTGTGGTAGTAAATTGTACGGCTGTTTGTTTTGAATGCAAGAAAACTTTTATTCGTTATTTGGCCAATAAACAAGTCAAAATGTCGTTTTTGTGTTTAAACATACCTTCAGATCCACAACTAAAGCTTGTAACTTTTTGTTTTCGATTTTTAGCATCTCCTCAAGAAGCAGTGCCAAACGAATCTTTTCGAAATGAAGTATCGCCCCCGACTGAACCTTGAAACAATTTTGTCGTCTTTTTTTCTTCTTTTCGTTTATAAACGAAGTCAAAATAAAAACAAAATAATCTTGTTTTGTTCAATTATTCGCTGTGTTTTTTTCTACTTCTTTTTCATTTATTTGAAACATTTCATTGTATTGCACTTTCTTTCGTGAATGTGTGTGTTTGTTTGTTGTTCTACATATACTTTCTGGTTTTTTCTTGTTATTGAATATGGAAAGAATACAAAACATTTTTGTACAACACTGTATGTGTATTTTGAATTTATGTACAAAAACAAAATGTGTGTTCTATTTACTCTAGTGTGTAGAATGTGTTGTACAGACTTCTTCTCTGGTTTGAATATATATCTGTTTTTGAAGAAGAAATTAATAAAAATTATGGCAATCTACAATGTAATTGTAATTTAGTAAAATAGCTCAAAACTTGCCGTTGTTTGAGGCACTTAATGTTATCTTTTCAAAGGCAAATTAACATCTTAAGTTTGATTTTTAGTAGGATTTTTGACAGTAATTATAAATAAGCCGTCCTTTTGAATACTGAACGCTTTTCATATACAAAATACAGCGATTGTTTTACCAAAACTTGATCTTGGTATAATCTCACTAACTTGTAGCCTGACCTTATAGAAAAAGATATAAAGTGCTAAAAAGATAAACCTTGGCAAAGAATAACGCTGTTGGCTTTATAGTTTTAATAAAAAAAGTATCGCATGTCAATGTTTGAATGATCCTGATTATTCATCTAAAAGTTTAGAAAAATAAATTGTTTCACTGATTCGGTAGCTCGTTTAACAACTGAATAAGTGCTATCAATGTCAGACCTATTCCAATCTATCTGATCACTACGGGTGCACATCATTTTATACAATTTATTTTCATTTTAAACATGAACTTTTAGATGAACAATCAAGATCATTCAAATAACAAATAGAAAGACTTCAGTTTTAAGACTTCAATTGTAGCTATTTTGTTTAGTTGTTGACTTGCATCACTAACGGGTAGTTAATCACTCGATGGTGCGACACTTTAGTCTCCCTAATAAAAGTTTAAAACAACAAATAAAAAATTACAGTGATTGAATCATCATTCATTGTACAGAGCAAATAAATTCATTTAAAAGTCATATCATCGACAAAGAATTAAAGTTCATTTAGAGTTAAAGAAAAATGCTTTTTCGTATTCAGCACACTTGATAACCTGGAAAATTTTCTGTTTTTAGCGAGGGGTACCGACAAAAAGTTAAGAAAAATTTTCAAAATTGTATAATTTTACCATGGAGATTTTTCTGCCTCAATTTGTTTGAAAATTTTTTTTAACTTTTTGGCGGTACCCTTCGCTAAAAGTAGAAAATTTTCCAGGTTATCAAGTGTGCTGAATACGAAAAAGCACTCTCCTTTAACTCTAAACAAACTTTAATTTTTTTTATCGGTGATATGAATCGTAAAAAACCTAGATATTCATCTAATTGGTAGATGTTCTACAAGTTTCACATCATAAGGAATTATACTATTTAATTATATATATATATCAATGAAAAATATCTCAAAATGTGAAAATTTGGGGAAAGAAAATTGACCCTTAGGCATATTATTATAGGAGTAAAAGTGTTTAACTAAAGTATTCACATTGTTACTACCTGTTATGTATATTTCTACAAAAATTCAATAAAAAATTGATAATCTCTAAGATGCCGCTAATTCAGAAATGCAGCACCGTTTTTGTTTTCGTTTATTTATACATGGTTGGATAGAGCACATAGAATGTATGCGTTTTAAGTTTTAAAACACTTTTTTAAGGGTGAGGTGTTATAAATATATACAGATTAAAATCAGTTACTAAACATAATATGCTTTCTTCACAATTCGAGCAGTTTTTCACTTTATTTCTAATCACAAAGCACGTTCTCCACTAAATAACTTCGTATTCCATCAGACGCTTTGTATTTCAATATCCTTGTACTTGATTTGAGTCCATCCTTTTCCACCGGCAGCATTGTTTACTAGAATCGTCAGTTCGATCTCACGGCTTACATTCCAAACGGGATATAGAACATAAATGGTCGTTATTGCTGTTTTTTAAAAACCCGTTTACAGGTGTTTCTTCTTTTATCTGAGGTAAAAACGCCTTTAATCGTGTTTGTTCAAAAACGAGGAAAAGAACCTTTAGCAAAACGAAAAACCGGAATATCTGCAGACGTCGTATTAAAAAACGTCTGCTGTATTAAAAAAAAATATTTTTCGTGATGTCATATTAAAAAACAAAAAGAGTAGAAGACATTTTTTGACTATGTTATTCCATATGGTTTTTTCTGACATTAATCGATACTGGCATCACTGTAAGAAAAGTTGTTTTTAGAACAAGGGACTATAAGTTGAATTTATTTGTTAGTATGTTGCTTCGTACAGCTAAAAATCCGGCAGATCTTTAACCGTGAACTAGAGATTACGTCAAGCGTCATTTTTCAACTTTGATCAGATACTTATTTTTGTAAAACCAGTGAAAAGATTAAACTTTAAAACTACTGTTCTAAAACTTTTTGTTTATCCAGGCAGTTTGTCCTGGATTGTCATTTTTGGGTTAGCCGAAGCTCAGCACAAGACTACGTGTTGAGCATCATCTGGAGTAACGCTTGTTCATGATACACTTCCGATATTCTTGATACATCTCATAAGATAAAGCTTTTTTAATACTTACATATCAGCCCAGGTAACCATCCACAAACTATTAGCTTAAAATATTTAATTTTTTTACAACAGTTCAAAAGATTTCTCTCATTTTTACATATTTACAATTTATTTAAAATCAAATGATGGTGAGTATGAACGTGAATTATATTGTTTTCTCAGGTAATTTTAAATAAAT